AGACGTTCAGCGCTTGTAGTGATGAGGAATAGGGACACAAGTGCTGGGGTTTTACTCACAGATTGGCATCGATTCCATGGTTTGTGGCCTAAGAAGGGATGAATGGACTGATTATCGGATCCATAGGTTGTGCAGCACTTGAAGTCATAGTCCTGTGGATTACAGACACCGAGTAGTCTGTAATCGATTGGAAAGGGATATCAAGTGCTGGGGTTTCTTACAGATAGACATCGAGTGAACTGTTTGTGGCCTAAGAAGCAAAGGATGGACTTATCATTGGATCCATTGGTTGTGCAGCACTTGAAGTCATCGTCCCGTGTACTACAGACACCGAGTGCTCTGTAATGGACGGGAAAGGGATATCAAGTGCTGAGGATTTCTTACAGATTGAAAATATTTTCATGGTTTCGGACACAAGAAGAGAAGAAAAAGATGAAATCAATAAAAGAAAAATCAGATCAAATGAATCAGAAAACGCTGATATAATGTGTGATCACTTCTTCGTGATTGTGGACATGGATTGCATCGGAAGTGATGGCCAGAAGACTATTTATGAGAACCAATGGATTGCAGTGTAAAGTATAAACTCTTTTTCCTTTTTTATCTGATATGAAATGCAAACTCTTTTGTGTCCATCACATCCACGGATCAAATGCAAAGACAAATCGGTAAACAAGTGTTTTATTAACTAATAATTAACACTTAATTTGCTTTCAGTGCCAGAAGTTTGGCGCCAGTGATGGTAAGCGCTGTCACTGTCGAGCGGATAGTCGTATAAGTCTTCGGCGGCTCGACTGCACCGGACGTGTAATATAGCACTCAATAGTATTGCAATTACTATAACTATAAACACGACTAAATTTATTCATCAGATTTTACAATACAATCCATGGCTTCACAAAACATCAATCAATTCATGGGCCGACCTCTAGTCATGCCCTCCAAGAACTCAATGCCCGGCCGCTGATTGTAGTGCCCTTTGGCCTCGAGATACTGTACGACCCAATCGACCAGCGATTGGACGGTCAACAGGCGCTCGGCGTCCGCGTCGGGTATCTCCAGAGCGAACTCGTCCTCCAACTCGACCACCAATTCCACGATATCCAGCGAATCCAGGCCTAAGTCTTGCGTCAGATGAGTGCTAAGCGTCAGCTGTGATGGGATAGACAATCATTGGTTGGATCAGCTGTGGTGATGATCACCGCAATTGGTTTGGTTACCGAATTGGCGTCAATCTTGTCGTGTTTGGCCAATGAGTTCAAAACGCGAAACTCGATGTCTTTGGGAACCACCGGCTCTTTGGGCGGTCCATACGATGGGAACCGTTGAATAGCTGTCGGACAGTGCAGTGGCCGCCGGCTAGCGGTGGTCAGCGATGCGATGGCGGGCCTCAGGAGGCGTCCAATGAGTAGTCGCGAAGACATTTGTGGTCTGTTTTTGTGGTCAGACTTTTAGCACTTATTTTTGAATAACGTTTTTGTTTACAATTTTGTGACAATAAATGCCGTTATTTATGGACACTTTATATGGGCTTTAATTGTGGCGTTAAAAGTATTTGAATCACGTTTTAAAGTTTGATTTAATACTTTTAATTACGTTTATAATGTTATTTATATTTAGTTGTAATATATATTCAATTTAATAACAGAATTAAATTGTAATTTGTGACGGTTCTTGTGTTGATGAGTGGTGTTCAGAGAGGGCGCGCGTGTAGTTATGTATGTTTCGATTTTCGAGTAGCGATATCTCGAAAACTATGGCTCAGATTTCTCTTAAACTTGATTAATTGAAAGATTATGATGAAAGGAAGAGCTGATGCAAAGGAAAACTTGGGGATACTGTCTGGGGCTGATCCAGTGGACAAAGAGTTTGTCTACGGGATATTAATGTATAGATTTTCGGGAAGCGATTACTCAAAAACTATAGTTTTGATTTTGCCCGAAAGTGGTTCAATCGAAAGTTATTGATGAGAGGAAAAGCTGGTGTGACGGAAAAGTTCGGGACTATCACCGGAGCTGATCCAGCGAGTGAAGAGTTCGGACGGGTGAGAGTTGTTATGGGTAGAGGTGTGAGCGCGCGGTGTTGAGATGTGAACACCTTATGACGAACCGTACGGAACGGTAGTTTGAGACCTGATCTTCGGGTGGCGATCGGGTCTACCGTCGATGTGGTTATCGGGTGAAGAGGTATGTTATGTACTGTGCGGAGACTTACTGTATATATATAGCACTATCGGGTGAGTGCACGGCTTGTCGGGGAGGAAGGGTAAAGTAGAAAGTATGAGACCTCGGGTCGCAATGCTTATCAAAAGCCGGACTCACTCGGGTAGAAGAGAAAGTGAAATATCTGATCCATAGGTACGGGTCTCGCAGTCGGAAGTGTCTTCTCTTTGCTGATCTTTCGCCGAAGACTTTGGCCGATAATATTTGGTTCAGGGATTGGATTGGGTTTTGCGTCCAATCAATTGCAGTCGGATTTGAATCGATTGAATCAATGAATTCATTGATCGTCTATTGAATGCATAAATAATTTGTTAATAAATTAGTTTTTAAATTGTTTTATTGGATATAATTTAGAAAAAGTAATGTTTTTAAGTAATAGTTATTAAATTAAAAGCTATTTCTTATATACAGTCTATTGCTTTGCAATTAATTAGAAAATAATTAGAATTGATGTCAAATATATGTAAAATTCAATATAAAATCTCCGAAATAATCAAATTATAAAACATTAGAGTTTTTCCACAAAACGAATTGAATTACATTATAATTACAATTAAAACAAAATTAATATAAAATAATATTCGTATATAAAGAGAATGAATGCATAGTTTGATTGATATGTCAAACAAATGTCAATGAAATTGAATGATTGCCACAAATGTTGACACACTTTGTTGTCTAGACTCTAGAGTTTGTATTCCCAGACAATGCAATGGGCGTGAAGTGAAGAATACGGGGTATCACTGAGTGTTCCCCTCTTATAGCCGTTGCCTCCGGTCAGTAGAAGTGCTGTTTTGTTGTTAACATTGCAGGTAGTGTTGGGCGCCGTGTCATAGATGGGTATCATCTGATCCTGTCTTCTCACGTGACTCACATTTGGCTGAGATTTATTGCATTCGTATATATTATTAGTTAATCGGGCCGTCGATGCAGTTCTTGAGCTTAAATTACTGCCACTTTCGTAGATGTGATTTCGCGCGCCTTTCACTCCAGCGTTGATGTCGTCCGGAGTCATAGACACTAAGTTTGCGTTTTGTTGAGTTTGAAGAGGCCTTTGATGCGATCCGTCGTGATATATAGCACTACTGGAAGCGCTCTCCGACGTCGAGTCATCCGATATATTCATATTAGACAAATCCCACGCCATTTTGGTTGTAGTGATGGTATGCGATGGACGTCTCACTCCCACGTAATCGCCGACATTCAGCAAATCAGAGTAGAGTCCATATATAGACTCCACGTCTTCGTTCTTGGCGTCCATCACATCCCTATCAGACTTATTGGCGGCGTTTCGCACACTTTGTGGCGAATTGGGAGACTCTATGCCCGCATTGAGACTCAAGAGTATATTGACGGGACCGATGTGTCGGTGAAGCGCCACATTCAGACATCCGGATATGAGTGGCACGCCTTGCAGTCGAGGCAAAGTCAACGTCACTATCACTCCCACATTGGTTCCAACCCATAGCAGTCCTCTGGTGGCCAACATTGATGTCACCGTAATCTTCACGTCTGAGCCTTCGTTTAGTATTCGTTTGACATTAGAGGCAACGTTGAGGTCTTGCAAGTGCTTAAAGGTCTCGGTGTGGAACAGTTTGATGATCGACGAGTCCACGAGACTCACCCACAAACCAATACCACAATGCGCTAAAAGATTTGGCTTAACGTTGTCTTCAATACTTTGACAAATATCTGAGTCTTCGTCGGTGGACCTCAAGGAATAGCTGCGCTCCACTTCGACGCCACTTATGATCCAAATCTTGTCGTCAGAACACGCGAACACTTCCTCATTGATTGGCAACAGACAAGTGATGGGACACTGAGTGAGTGTTATAATAATGGGCTCTTCATAATGAGTAGCGTTAAAGAGTGCCACCACTCCAGTGATGAGTCCGACGTAAACGTATTGTCCGAAGTGTTTAATACATGTCACTTCACTCGCGACGTCGAGCGCCGCAAACTGTTGCCATTCGGCGGGAGAACTCGCGTCAATCACTATAATCCTTCCCTGACGTAAACCAATCCATACTGAATAAGAACCCACGGATTCAATGCATGTGACGTGAGAGTCGCACAATTCGTATGAGTGAATCAGACTTATATCAGTGCCGTTTGTGGACAGAGCGCCCAATTGGGAACCGCTTTCGTTGACATTACAAATCCAAAGCACACCCGAATCGGATTCAAGAGTGAGTCCATCACCGCTTCGGTACAGTTTGTAATGAAGAGCGCATATGAGTTGTGAGCCATCACTGGTGGCAAAGATTGGAAGCGATTTGACAAAGAGTGGGACGCGTTGGGGAACCATAGCGTTCAGGTTATTGGACGACGAAGAGATGTTTTCGGTGACTATATCCCAGGCGGGGTTATTGGCGCGATCGAGTGCCAACTTCGCCAAACGCACGTCTATCAGCCAATCGCGCTTCACTTCCGGGTCAGTCATCTGAATGCAAATTATGTCCTTATAATTCTTGGAGCGGATCCTCAACTGAAGACAACTCTTGTCAATGAGAGTGATTTGTGCGTCCTTTCGACGAATCTCTTCTCTAATCTCAGCACTTATTTGTTCGGTTAATTCAACGGATAGTCCATTGTATTGATATCTTAAAGTGGATACCAAATTGGATATACGGCTCAAGAGTTCCAAATCATGGATCAAATTATTCAAATCACAATACATTCGCTCGACTGTACAGTGTTTGGGAGAGGAAGCAGAAGTGGCTTCTGTTTGTGTTAATAGACAAATGGATTAATTTCTAGCTATAGATCATTGGATGAGTGGTTACCTTTGGTTCTCAAGAGTGAATTGGCGATGAGGTTATTGGTTGCTGGGGTCACGTCATCGATGGCGTCCACGTCTTGTAAAGAGACGGCAAACTTGAGTCGATTGGCCGGAACGCTCACACACACCAACATATCGTTCAATAAGTATAGTTTACGGCACTTTGTCTTCATCACGAGTCCAGTGCTGGCGTCCAAATCCAGTTGATAGACGTCGTCCTGTCGGAGGAGGAATCGGTGCGAAGAGTTTGTCGTAGAGTTACTTAAATAGTCTTTAAGTAGTTGTTTGACAGCGAAGTGTCGTTCGGCGTCGCGTTTGCGTTCATTGAGTCGATCGGCCAGTGATTCGAGTTGTGTGAGCGCTAACTGTAGTGACATTCTGTCCTCGTGTTCGGCCGGAGTGTGTTTCAGAAGATCACTCAATAGGAGTATGAATTGAGGGAAACGTTGCACGGGTTTAACCATAAGGCCAAAAAAGCTGAGCCGATCGGGACTAGAGAGCGATTTGTCGCGCAAGAACTGCGCGAACGACGACTTGGATTTGGACGCCTTTCTCGCCGTTTCCATACCATTCGTGAAGTTGTTTATGAAATCCGAATATATGTCTAAAACCATCGATTTAGAGAAGGAGGCGATGAATACATCGCCGATCCTCTCCTTCTCATCCCATTCTCTAACGCATTGACTCAAAGCTATACCAAAGATGGTATGGCATTGAAGTATTTGTTCCAATCGATAGAAGATTACATTGATTTTATTCTGACTCAAAATACTTGGATTTGATTCTTCCAAAGGCTTCTTGTATTCGGAAATAATTCGTTGCAAAGAATTAATGTAAGAGTTTTCCGAGTCTACTATCGACCCAATTATATATCTTCTCTTCAGCTGTTCCTGAGTCAAGCCCTGCGGAGGCATTTCCGGCAGACATATGGGAGGCCTTTGCTTTTTGGACAGCTTTATATCAATGTATGGATTCTCGTCCTCACTGTTGAGAGAAGTCGGCGAAGACTTCTTTCTGGTTGAGAACCAACGCGTGAAACTCGAAGAACCCAACGATCTTTTGCTGTCCTTTTTCTTATAACTTTGAAGACTGAGTGTATCGGCGTATTGGGCGCGAAGTGACGACAGGGTTAGGAAATCGATCTCTTCGTAGATGTTGTCTTCGGCGCGATTCTGTCGGTGCGACTCCTCGTACAGCATATAAAAGGGTTCCTTAAATGGCATCGATTGCACGGTTCGGCCGTAATCTCCCGTATTATTGCTGTTAGAATTGGGAGATATGTTGTTAAGTGAGGAACCATTGTTGCTGTTGGAGGAACCGCTGATAAGTCCAGTGTTGGTGTCATTCATAAGCATTGTTTCGAAGTCAAGGTTGAGATTCTCGAGTATTTGTTCCTGTCTTTGCTGTAGTCTTGATATCTCATTAGTTATGGAGTCATAGCTAAACATAATGGGCTCTGATTTACGACGTCTTCGGGCGAGACTTGAGGAGCCGATCGCCGCTATGAGTCCATCAGAATCGGACACATTTGGGTTAACAGCAGATGAGTTATTGGTATTGGCTTTGGATTTCTTCTTCCGGAGCAAAGGACTGACACCATTGGCGAACAGAGACAGCGATCTCTGATATATTCCCTGCTTTTGAGTACTTTTGGTGAAGAGATTAGGCTTTTTAAGGGACTGTAAATTTCGTGGCAAACTCTCCGAGCCGTGTCGAGTGTCGGCTTCGATGGCCAGCAATGGATTGGCGAATGAAGTGATGTGAGGGTTGGATGCGTTGGAGGCGATGGCGGTGTTGTTGTTGTTGGCGATGCCGTAATGGGATTGAGAGCCGGTCAGCGTCTGTGCGGACTGAAGGGTCGGTAGAGTCTGGAGGTTGTGGTGAGTGTTAGCACTACTACTGGACGGTCGGGACAACGACTGCGAGCAACGAGAGGCCGAACGCAACTCATCCGTCGATTGGCTGTCACTTAATGTGGAGGAATGGCTCAACTGATTGTTGTTTATGTTATTATTACTGCTGTTATGAACCAAATTATTATTACTATTATGACTGCTATTACTATTAGTACTGCTATTAATGGGATTACTAATCGGATTAATGGTTGGATTGTTTGGATTCTCCTTTTTAATGAGCTCTCCGTAATAATAGGGAGCCTTACTATTGGCAGACATCACCGCAAACTCATAGACGATGTCTTCAGACACTACATCATACCATCACTCATACAAACTGTGTTGACACTAACATCACGTCTACTCATGTATTCATTGCACTAATCATTACACAAATCACCAAATCTTAGAAACCAATCAATTATTCAATATATTATTGCCCTCACTATCGATACATCGCTCACCACATCATCGATACTATCGACCATTAAATGCCACATACAGTACACATACAGTACTCACACACTCTACTCACTGTACACACTGTGAAGGCAGCAGTGATTCAGGCAATCGATTATTGACGGCCTTTGAACCAAAAAACTTGTTAACTCTTCCAACACTTCCAACACTTGCCATCACTTCTATACAGATATACCACTAATACATATCACATATTTGGTCACACTTTACATGCATTTCATAACTAATAAAAGCACATTTAATTAGTTTAACTTAATTTGTAAACTGAAAGCTTTCAACGCTCTCAATATAGGACAGGTGCCGATATATGTGGTCGAGTGACCATAGAGTGACCAGCATTGGTATCGGCGCTAATGTCTCACCAATATATCAATGCATTTACTGTTAGTCTATATGACTGTAGCGCCCAAAGAGTCCGTAGAAGACTAACCATTATTTATGACAAGCAATGAAACATTTGTCGGTATATTTGAGATGACTGTGAGATGTGTTGTGACTATTTGTGCAAATGATTAGTTAATTGAATGATTGATGTATTGAATGAGAGCATAGATTGGTTGATACAAGTGTATGAAGTAGTTGTGAACGGATTTGATGTCAATTGAAATCAATGCTAACCTCTATATCGAGAGGATGTCTAGTATTATACAATTTGTAGAGTAGTGTAGAGTAGAGTGGAGTGAATGGTGTGAATGGTATGCAAATGCAATGCACAGTACAATGCAATGCAATGCACTCCCGATTGGTGTACGTTATATATGAATGGACCGCCATTTGGGACACAAATGAGAAATCGATCGTCAAATCGAGAAAAGAGTGAAAAATCTGTTTTCAATTCATTTGTTATTATATTTGAAAACAATTTATTAATTAAAGTGTGAGGATTTGCATGTATTGGATCCGCTATAAGACATCGAAGAATAATTATCTTATTTTTACCATTATTTCAATTCATTGTTTTTCTAAGAATTTCATGTATATCTTAAACTTTCATTTTATACCAATTGTTGTTCACTTGACTTATGATATAGTATTCAAATCATTACAAATTCATTGTTTTAATTGTTTTCTATTGTATTAATTTCTAATCAAATTATTTAATTAATAAATTCATTGAATCAAAAAGTTTTTAACTTAAATTCATTTCTTATTATTTCCCATTAGTTTACACATCAAACCAATGGACAGTAAAAACAAAACAAGTTTTTCACATTAATTTGTGAGGATTTGCATGTATTGGATCCGCTATAAGACATCGAAGAATAATTATCTTATTTTTACCATTATTTCAATTCATTGTTTTTCTAAGAATTTCATGTATATCTTAAACTTTCATTTCTAACCCTTTCTTACGCCTAAGTGCTAATTGATAACACATTCTCAACACATCTGCAAACCATATTTTACCATTATTTGCAACATTTAATTCAATTATGTTTTTCGTATTTTAATCACAATTACATTTAATTACAATTACAATCTTATACACATTATTATTGATAATAACATTACCTTTATATTGATATCAAAAACTTATACTTAACCATTGTATAACTTTACAAAAACATACTTTTATGAACGTATTAACTGTATAACCAAAATAACTTTGTATTTAACCTAACGTTTGAAAATATGCAATAAAAACAGTTTTAGTTTTAGTTTGAAATCATACGGTCTGTCATTTACTACTTTCCATATTCTCTTCTACCCGAGTGAGTCCGGCTTTTGATAAGCATTGCGATATAATTATCTTATTTTTACCATTATTTCAATTCATTGTTTTTCTAAGAATTTCATGTATATCTTAAACTTTCATTTCTAACCCTTTCTTACGCCTAAGTGCTAATTGATAACACATTCTCAACACATATGCAAACCATATTTAACCACTATTTGCAACATTTAATTCAACTATGTTTTACGTATTTTAATCATAATTACAATTAATTACAATTACATTTTTATACACATTATTATTGATAATAACATTACCGTTACATTAGTACCAAACATTTATACTTAACAATTGTATAACTTTATAAAAACATACGTTTATACACGTACTAACTGTATACTCACAATAACTTTGTATTTAACCCAACGTTGGATAAATGCAATAAAAACAGTTTGATTTTAGTTTGAAAACATACGGTCTGTCATTTACTAATTTCACTTTCTCTTCTACCCGAGTGAGTCCGGCTTTTGATAAGCATTGCGACCCGAGGTCTCATACTTTCCACTTTACCCTTCCTCCCCGACAAGCCGTGCACTCACCCGATAGTGCTATATATATATATATATACAGTAAGTCTCCGCACAGTACATAACATACCTCTTCACCCGATAACCACATCGACGGTAGACCCGATCGCCACCCGAAGATCAGGTCTCGAACTACCGTTCCGTACGGTTCGTCAATAGGTGTTCACACCTACAACACATCACTCCGCGCGCACACACCTCTACTCATAACCACACTCACCCGTCCAAACCTTTCACTCACTGGATCAGCTCCGGTGATAGACCTGAACTTTTCCTTCACACCAGCGTTTCTCCTCATCAATAGCTTTTGATTGAACCACTTTCAGGGAAAATCAAAACTATAGTTTACGAGCTATCGCTTCCCGAAAGTCAATACATTGATATCCCGTAGACAAACTCTTTGTCCACTGGATCAGCTCCAGACAATATCCCCAACTTTTCCTTTCCGTCAGCTATTCCTCTCGTCATAACCTTTCGATTAAACAACTTTCATCGAAATCGAAGGTATAGTTTTCGAGATATCGCTTCTCGAAAATCGAAACTAAGACAACTACACGCGCGCCCTCTCTGAACACCACTCATCAACACAAGAACCGTCACATTCGATTAAACAACTTTCATCGAAATCGAAGGTATAGTTTTCGAGATATCGCTTCTCGAAAATCGAAACTAAGACAACTACACGCGCGCCCTCTCTGAACACCACTCATCAACACAAGAATCGTCACATTTGGCGCAGTCGACTAGGATCAGATCTACCCATTCATTCATTATCATCACCGATGCCACTTCCCAATACTTTCCAACAAACTAATCCCAAAGAAAACAAAGAGAACTCCGACCCGAACCGTGAACGAGGACAACCACTACCGATACAAACAAACCAAATCAATAACGGGCGAGAAACTCATCCGCAATATCATTCAAACTCCCGATCTCAGTCTTCAAACACAACACGTGTTCACAGATACCGGTAGGACCCGAGACACCACCGGTCATCAAACATATGCCGCCTATCCTCACGACCACTATCACTCGAGTCATTGAAGAACCCTCCGACGACATTCCTATCAACACTGAACCCGATCAGCCCAACGACCCGCTTGACATCGAACTAGAAATCAGTTTCGAGAAAGCGTTTAACTTAACGAAAGCACTTTCACAACCAATCAAACCCGAAAACATACGATATACTCGCCGTCAGTGGCAAAACAAGAAGCGCACCGAACGCCGTAAAGCCGATAGACAACAATCCCTTCTCACTGGTCAGATCAGTGCCTCCCATCGCAACCAATTGATTGTTAAGAAACGAAAGCTCGAAGCGAAAGAAGAAAAAGAGTGGACATTAGGCCAGAATTTAGCCAAAGAAGCAAATCAAATCATCTCTGATACTCCCAAAAGTCATTTTCGTACAGCAAAAGGACGTGAGATATTCGCCGACACTTTACCTCAAAGAGTCCGATCACGAGAACATCTCGCCTCTTCTCGAAAGTTAGGCATTTACGCCCAACGATACGACGCCGCATTGAAAGCGACAAACTTTGCCGAAACACTCCCGACTTTTGCTTTAAACAACTTAAAGACTTTTCACATTAAAGCCGAGCCTATTGCCAAAACCACAACTACAACATGATCTCAAGACAGTCATTCCATCCGCTCTCTCCATTCTTCACAATATTCCGACTCTTCAATCCCATCGTTGGTGTTATCACACGGTCTGGCGGAACAGCAGACAGTGGTAACGGATCCACAACAAGCGGTTCCGTCACTAATGGAAGCACTCCGCTTCAACCGCCAAATCCACAGCCGATACCACCCGTCAATCCGCCACCAACTCACAACCCGACAAACAGACCAAAAATTCCTAAATTCAGCGGTCGAACCGATACAGGCATTACAATCGAAGCATTCCTTCGCATCTTTGAATTCACCTTCGCTTCTCAAACCGATGACCAACGCTCAAGACAAGTCCTCGAGTTTCTCGAAGGCGATGCCGCAAACTTCTACGGCACAGAAGTATTGCTCTCGACCGACACATCATGGCCTACAGTACGAGACAAACTCCTCAGCCGATACGGTCACAGCGATATCGATCCTCTAATCGCTGCGGGCCGCCGACGCCTCAATAGAGACGAAAAGATCCGACAATACTATGACGCTAAGATGACTATTCTCCGCCGCGCCATAGGAGTTGACGATAGCCACAAAGTCGCTCAACTCACCGACGGTCTTCCCGAAGCATACCGTGACCGATTCACTGGTTTACGCCCTACCCTCCAACAATGGCTTGAAAAAGCTCAAGACATTGAAGCCGATATGGAACGCAGAAACCAAGACCGCAATCGCAAATTCATTCCCAACAATAACAACCGCTCCAACAACCGATCATTTGG